CTCACACACACACACACACACACACACACACACACACACACACACACACACACACACACACACACACACACACACACACACACACACACACACACACACACACACACACACACACACACACACACACACACACACACACACACACACACCATCAGTGCTCAGGGCTAGAAGAGCAGGCTCTCCTAATGGCTTCTCCTGCACCATAAACCACCGGTGATATGACCTGAGGACGCACTCCCGCTGCTCACACCGAAGCATTACATCAGAAATAAAATGCTACCCAGTCACCTGGTTTCGAGACTATTACATTATTTACCAAATTCATACCTGTCCCACAAAGATACTGCAGATGCTTTTTGTGATTTGACTTGATGTATTTGTAACTGAGTCTAGGATGTGAAAGGCAAAAAATGCAGTTTCCCACCTTTCAAATTTCAGTTTTATGTCATATTAAACTGAATATCTTGTTTTTATAGGTACAAAATATCATATATGCAGGCATTACCTTGAACTTTAAGAAGATCAATCAATACATCAGCGCATCAATTGACAAGAAAATGAACCCATAGTTACATATAATCATATAAAAGCAGTAGGAGTAGGAGATGTCAAGATGTTTGTAGTTAAAGAGGAATACACCCAGGACTCAGTATCAGTGTAACCAGGAGAGCATCCTAACATTATGCTGTATATTCCCACCCTTGAGCTTCTGGACTATTTTGCATAAAGTTGCCTCTTTTGCAAACTGACCTTTTCACCCCCACCCTCGTCGCTGTGCAGCCGTTACATATATCAGTCTCTTCTGACAAGCAGAGGTAAATGATGTGGCTCCGCTTAATGACTTGTTTCCATAGTAACGCTGCATGTCAGACAGGCATCTCCAGACTGAGTCAGAGCACCAGGGCTGCGGTCTGAGAAACAAATGCATTTATAAATTCCAGTGAACAGGCGTGCAGCCACTGCTAATGAGCGCGGTCCCATCAGTCAGCTGGGTGCTTCTGGCTCTCTCCCACGACTTCAGACTAATAGCTGCTCACCTGCTGCTGTTAGTAATGATGTTGGCTGGGAGGGGGTATTACAGGAGGAATGGTAACTGTGGTGACGCAAATGTAATGTCTGTGGTGCCTTAGTGTACCTGTAATCACAGTTATTAACATTGGTGATCATACATTATGGTTTTTAAAGCAAAAAACAAACATTTTGTCTCCAAGTACTGTACATATAAAACATTGGAAAAAGAAAAAGTACATAGAAAGTCTTTGTCAACATTCCTTTTGATATTGTACTAAAGCAGATTTAGCATGGGACCCTGGGAAGTTGTGTTTATTAGACCTACTGTAGATTAGTTTACTGGACATTTATGTATCTTGATAGGTCTGTTTTACAAAATAAATAAAATAATCCACAGAGAAGGTAAGGGTCAGATGAGTCTTTAGTTTGTTTGTCTTTTCGTCAGTCTCCTTTTTAAAAACCGTTTTGCCTCTTTTTCCCCAGTTCCTGGACCACCTCCTGACTGGAATTGAGGATATTTGTGGACACTATGGACACCACCACTGGAAGGACAAGTATGGATTATACAGTTAACGCGTCTCAGAGTAATCGCAGTCTATCTCCGGCTCGACCTCTCATCTTACGTAGTGCTCAGTCAGTCTCGCCTATGCTGTCACTGACACAACCACTGAGCTACGCATATATGACTCCAAGATGCAAACAAGTCTATGACATCATCTACCAAGTTTAAGAGATTTTAGGAGCTAATGCTAGCTACAATTATTAGAAGAAAGCTGGCAAAATTGCAATGCATTTTGTTGAGAGGCGTAACCAATGTTAATACTGATGGTGTCATTGTTTTATTGCCATTACATTGTGCGTTCAACATGTACTTCATAATGTTAAGTTGAAACAACCTGCTTGTCTATTTGCCGCTTTAAACGTCTCCTTTTTGTTTTCTTCCAATATGCATTAGAGATGTACAACCTCTCTGTCCTGTTCTTATTTAATGTCTTTGATTTTCCCTTGTGGTTTTTCTCATCTGCAACTCATTTCCTCCTCCCAGACTGAACCGCTTCAACAAGAAGTATGTGAAGAAGTGCCTGATTGCAGGCGAGCGCTCCAAGGAGCCACAGCTCATCGCCTTCTACCACAAGATGGAGTTCAAACAGGCCATTGAGATGGTGGAGAGCGGAGGAGGATTCAAGATGCCGTCTGCTATGCCTTCTACTGTTTCCATGCAGTAAGTGTGAGCATACACTCTGTCAGAGGTGGGAAGTAGTGGAGTACAAATACTTTGTTTCTGTACTTAAGTAAATGTTTCTGGTACCAGTACTTTACTCCACTACTTATTTTTCTGATGACTTTTTACTTTCACTTCTTACATTTTTAACACAAATACCTGTACTTTCTACTTCTTACATTTTCCAAACAGGCTGGTTCCTTTAGTTTGAATGTGTGTTTGGTGGCGTGATCATTATTATTTAGAGTCATTGCGTGCCTATTGATTTGAACACGATCCTTGTATCCATCATTTCCTGGTCTTCTCTAAAGAAGAGGGACCAATGAAAACGTTGTCATGTTGCCGTTGGTCACCATGGAAACATTCATTAGCTAACAATGACATTATTGTTCTATTAATATAAAGGGAGGTCAGTTACTCTTTAAAACAGTTGGTAGTTATGGGTACTTTTTACTTAAGTGCATTTCGAAGCCCATACTTCTTTACTTTTACTTGAGTAAACAAGTTTTATTTTTAAACACGAGTATCTGTTCTTCTACTTGAGTAAAGGATGTGTGTACTTTTGCCATCTCTGCACTCTGTCTTCTGTCACCCTCTCAGAATACCCAACTGTCCCGAATTCTTAAAGCTTTACTAATTGTTATCGCCACTTGGGGGCAGCAATATGTCATCACGTTTTAAAAGTTGAATTGGAAGAATTGTAAGCTAAAAGTTATTTATTTAAACAAAATTCCCTCACTTTTAGCTCAGATTTTTGTCTCTACAAACTCCTGGGGAAATATCTGAATCTATAGCTAGTCACTCTCTATTGCCGTATGTTATGCAGGTAGTTCCCAGCATAGTTTTTATACTTTTTCAGCCAAAACAACCTTTGAGAGTGACCTTAAATCTAAAAATGTGGGCTAGGCTGCTAATTAATGAGCTGAAACTTGCTATATATCTGCAGAAACAGCTGACAGAAGCAATTTGATACACTGTAATTTTAAAACATTTTCATTGCAGTCGATTTCTTTTTCTAATACTTTGTGTTTTCTGATTAAGTAAAAGGTCTTCTTAATGCATAGTAATAAACAGTTCAACATCATCTCGGGTCCTTTTAACCGCAGTAGTTTCTGTCAAAGCTTTACATGGAACAGGAAGTAAAAGTTCCTCTTTCATACGTTGTTTAATACCACACTCTATAGTCTTTTGTTTGATTTATAATTCGTCAAGGGCTTTATTTTGAACGTTTTATTCAATTTTTCCATATCTAAATATTCTTAAAATCACTTTTGATTGAGAGACCGGCTAATGGATGTTAGTTCTATGCAGCTGGTATTACATTAACAGCATTTGAATAATGGTCTCCTCTGTCATGTGTGAATGCACCAAGATGAGGAGTCTTTGCTTTTCATTATTCAGAATGCTTTTATGAATTAGATGATCCCAGTATAAATAATATTTTCTTTTTTCACTCTACCTCTATCAAATGAAGCGATAACACGAGAACAGATAAGGTCAGACCTGTCAGCTGAATTAATTCAACAGGGCCATTAAGCATATTGATACTTCACAGTTAACAAGCCACTAGCTATTAGTCTTCTGATCATTACATAGCAGGAGAAAATAATTAAAGGTCACCTATTATGCAAAATCCACTTTTTCATGTCTTTTCTACATCAACATGTGTCCCCTCTGTGTAAAGAGATTCTGAAAGTTTCAGGAAAAAGATTCTCTCTCTTTTTGTCCTGATCCATTTATATAAAAACCTGTCTGAAAAGGAGCTGATCAGATTTTGTCCACTTTATGATGTCATAACTATTTTTTGGCTTGTGTAACCATTAGCCAATCACCAACCAATACCTATACCTCATTCACACCAACGGTGTTTCAGGGCCGGTTCGGAGCTGGAGCTTAAAAAGCACCGGGTTTTCCTCTTCACACCGCNCACGCACGCGCACACACACACGTCATCCCACAATGACCCCACAGTGTCATTACTCCACCCAAAGACTGTTTTCTTCCTTCCTTTACCTCTTCGTTCTCTGGAGAACGAAGAGGTAAAGGAAGGAAGAAAACAGTCTTTGGGTGGAGTAATGACACTGTGGGGTCATTGTGGGATGACGTGTGTGTGTGCGCGTGCGTGTGCGTGTGTGTCTGAGCTGTATTTATAGCTTAACAGAACTCGGGACTTGTGGATTAGAACCAACAATTGTGTGTGAGATAGTGTGTTCAAGTTAAAATTAACTAAATGGTAAAATGTTAAGAAATGTTTATTATTTGGATTTATATTAACCATGCTGGAAAAAATGTATATATATTTCCATGCTGCAACTGTACACCGTAGAGCACACTATATAAGGTGTAGTACTACCACACAGCCAGTAGGTGGAAGCAGCAGTCAGCATGTGATGCCCTGAATGGCCTCAGAGGCTTGTTACAGGAGGACTGCTGATATTACAATTATCTGCTTTTTAAAACATTCATCCCTTCACATTTAGTTGTTTCAATTTGTTTCAATCTATACATTTGAATTCACAATTAAATTATTTGGTGTATTTGCTTGTTGTTGCTGTTCTCTGTTTACAATCCGATGGTAGCTCATTTCCCCTTCTTGTGAGTGATAGTGTAGTTTTGAGTTTGAATCATATGTCTATGAATGCTTATGTCTGTGTGTTGGCTAAATCAAATCATACAAAACAAGACAGTAAAGGGGAATGCGTTGCTGTTGTCAAACACGGTATCTCGGTGAAAGATCAAAGTCAATTGAATTCATCCACCCCCTATAAAAAGGCTCTGGGTTTTTCATGTGTTTAAACCATAAAGAAGTCATCAGCTTCTGATCATGAAGACTGAGGATGTTTGCAGGGAGAGGTCGTACCTGGGTGTGGATTTCCTCATTAATGGTCCGCTTGGCCTCCTGTTTCTTCTTCACCGCCAGCAGCTCCACCAGGGGTTGGATGGTCATACCCTGCATGAAGGAGGAGAGAAACAATCATTATTCACCTCCTGACCCTAGCGAAACAACAGAAATAGGCTCTTATCAGCAATCTATCTAGTATTCAGGAGTGAAATGTGGATTTACAGTGCATCTGTAATGTTTTGTATCATTTCTGTGTGGACAGTACTGACAAATCTCTCCAGGTTTATAATACAATTGAAGATAACTAAAACAGATCCACTATGCTTGTTTCTTCATTCTTTCAAGTCAGGCGTAAGCACAGTATTGCCCCACTTCAATGTGATGTCACAGTTCCCGGATGTTGCAATGGCGTATTAACAAACGGCAGATCTTAAAACGACTTTTCACAACCCTGTTGATGTTGCTATGAGTCTCTTACAAAGTCACAGATATCACCTTCAAATATCTAAATCTTACACAAATCTGCTAAACCACATCCTAGAAAGATAAAACCAGTGAAATTATTTGTATTATCGACAAAACCATATGATATAGTGTTTCCATGGTTCCCTGGACAGGGTTTTTTCAGTGATTCAATGGACCAACAAGTGTGGTTGTTACTGTGTAAATGTCTGAAAAGCACAGAGTGAGTGTATTTTTGCCTGACAGCACCTAAAAGCTTGAGCAAATCATGTGGTTTCTTAAAGAGATTAAGCCAGCCCTCTGGTTAACTCTAACAGCATAAAGTGGAAGACAGAATATTCCTCTTGCTCTTTAATAATACCCAGTCCTGCTACCAGGCATGTAGAAGAAAACCTTTTACCACCTCCCCACATTTCAATGTAGCCACACAAAACATGAAATAAGGATAACCCATGACATTTATTCCTTCTCTTTAAACATGGAGAATGTTAATATGTCAAGTTTATCCCATTTCTCGAATGTTCTAAGTGCTGCTTAAGGCCAATCAGTGGTATTTAACAAATGTCAGAATAGAGTTTTGAATCATGCAGTGGCATTAAAGAGAACTTTTTTAATAACCCAAAGAGTAATCCCTCCATAGTGCGTACCACAGTTTACTGTGGGGGAAATATAATCTACGTTATTTTATAAATGTCCTAACCAACCTAAGATTACTCTGATCATTTGTGTAATCATGCTAACCATAGTTTAATGACCAGTGACAACTAATAACACCATTTGGCCAATCAGCCCAAAGGCAATTAGTTACTATTCTAACCGTTAACCGTACACACTCAATCTCAGTGTGTTACTGATGGTAGCCTTTGTTACTTTGGTCCCAGCTCTCTGCAGGTCATTGACTAGGTCCCCCCGTGTGGTTCTGGGATTTTTGCTCACCGTTCTTGTGATCATTTTGACCCCACGGGGTGAGATCTTGCGTGGAGCCCCAGATCGAGGGAGATTATCAGTGGTCTTGTATGTCTTCCATTTTCTAATAATTGCTCCCAAAGTTGATTTCTTCACACCAAGCTGCTTACCTATTGCAGATCCAGTCTTCCCCTGCCTGGTGCAGGTCTACAATTTTGTTTCTGGTGTCCTTTGACAGCTCTTTGGTCTTGGCCATAGTGGAGTTTGGAGTGTGACTGTTTGAGGTTGTGGACAGGTGTCTTTTATACTGATAACGAGTTCAAACAGGTGCCATTAATACAGTTAACAAGTGGAGGACAGAGGAGGCTCTTAAAGAAGAAGTTACAGGTCTGTGAGAGCCAGAAATCTTGTTTGTTTGTAGGTGACCAAATACTTATTTTACTGAGGAATTTACCAATTAATTCATTAAAAATCCTACAATGTGATTTCCTGGATTCTTTCCCCCCATTCTGTCTCTCATAGTTGAAGTGTACCTAGGAGGAAAATTACAGGCCTCTCTCATCTTTTTAAGTGGGAGAACTTGCACAATTGGTGGCTGACTAAATACTTTTTTGCCCCACTGTATTTGCTCGCATTAGCATTATTAGCATTAGCCCAGCGCACCAACAGAGAGAGACTATAACTTTTGGCAACACAAAAAAACGTGGGAGCGGTGGAGTGATGAGGGGGTGTCGGCGCTTCTGGCGATTTACTCGGAAGACGCTAATCAGCAGCTTCTACTGAAGCCAGTCCCCAACTCTGGGGGGACTCCAGGAATACGGGTGGCAGTATACGCCATGAAGTTGTTTGCGGCCTGCCATTAAAACCCAAAGCAGCGGAAGAAGAAGTGACGTAAGCAGCTTAATTTGCGTAATCCTCCATCAGGGACTTATTCCGGTGTGAATGCGATTTACTAGGACAGTTCCGGGACTAAAGAGTTCGGCGGGACTAAGTACTGGGAACTAAGTACGGCAAAGTACTTGGTGTGAAAGCGGCTAGTGGTGCTCTAGGAGGAGATTCAGGTGATAAGGTGGGGGGGTGGGGAGTTACCTTGGTTGGATATTGGCTAATGGTTAAACAAGCCAAAAAATCGTTATGACATCATAAAGTGGCCAAAATCTGATCAGCTCATTTTCAGACAGGTTTTATATTTTGCATAATAGGTGACCTTGAAATAACTTCACATTGCAGGTGAGAGGGACCTCCACCTCCCCTCCCCTGGTCTCAGCATCGGACAGTATGATTAAAACATGTTTCTGATCCTGCCTGAGGAGAGTGAACATGTCTTCAGGGTTTATTTTGTCTGCTTCCATTCTGGTTCGACTTGACATCCGAGTATCTTCCTACAGTTTCACTAAAATATGGTTCAGCTGACAGCACCGTGCTGATGCAGTTCATGGTGCTAAATATACATAGTATGTATGGAACTACTGCCTGTGTGTCTTTATCTTGCCATCATGTACTGTTTTTGTACATAATGTTGATGTTCATTCTGTGAGATACAGGAGAAACGTCTCTACATAAAATCATATTTTGTATTCCTTATGCACCTGAGTTACATTTGATTCATTCGTTTGTTCACCTGCCTGTTTGGCTATCAGCATACTTTAAGTAGAAGCTGAAATTATATTTTCCTAAACCAGCTGAAACTGTTTTTTTAAGAAGAAATAGACCAAGAAAGCCTATCGACTTGCTGTGTGAAATTAATATGTTTGTTCAATTTAGGGTAGCAAATTAACGTCTTCCTGAAAATACACGAGCGTTCCTTTGATGTCTCATCCTCAGCATGACCATTACAATTAGGGAGATTCACAGGCCTGGAATAAAGGGTTGCAAATAAAATATTTGTTCTGAGATAGATTGTTTTTTTCCAGTGATGCGAGTGGAAATTCAAACTACACCTGCTAGGCAAATAAACTACACCTAAAAGGATTTTTTTATCAAAGCAATATAGTCGGGGATGACAATTGCAAATAAGTGGGTAACAAACAAAACATGTGAATAAATTACCGTCTATTACTTGGAATAGCGCACCATACGACCAACAGTAAAAGAAAAATTCCAGGGTTAGATACATTTTGAAGCGTGGGTATCTCTTTGCATGGTGCATTGAATGTGTTCATAATAACATTGCATAACTCTAGTTGCACTTGGACAGACTCTTACTAAGGCCAATGGGGGATGCAGGTGCTCCTGATGTTCCTATATTCAGTGTTAGGAAGTCGGACTGTGTTCATGAGCTTTAAGTCGTAATGTGGACACAACAGACACGAGAAAGATGTTTAAGAAAACACATTTCAACTTGAGAGGGCGTTTACATGGATTTAACCAGACACCGTGTGAAAGAAACAATATGCAATGTTGACGGAAGTAAAAGATGATTTGTGTATCAGCCCAGTCATTCGGAACTGCTCTAAAACCTCATGGGTGCTAACTTGAACCATGCTTAATCCTTCAACCAAGTTTCATTCAAATTGGTGCGTAATTACACTGACAGACAAAGAAATACACAAAGTTTTTTCCTTCTAATGTTTGTTTAAATCGGACTACATAAACTGCATATTCATACCTGAACAAAGACGGTGAAGAAGACAACGGTGATGATGGCTGTGAGGAACATCTCCCTCATGGGGAAGAGATCCTTTTTCAGCAGGAAGCCGAGGGAGAAGGCGATGGCTCCTCGCAGGCCACCGTAGGCGATGATGAACTGGTCCTTGGTCGTCAGCTTGACAATGCGGAACTTGTTGATCACATAGGTCAGACCAACCACACCTGGGAAGGACAGTGAAATGAGAAAGTGAGATTGGGTTAGGGACTTACTGGGTGAGTGTATGGTACCTGCAGAGATCAAAAATATTTCTCTCCAGAAGTGCTTGCTAAAAACTACCACATTAAAGCTTTCCCCCCTGATTCACACAGCAGGTTTTCGTTATAATTACAACCAAAGAAATGTGCTTAAAAAAAAATGTTGAGCCTTTCTTGACATAGCAAATCCATTAAAGTCATATCTGCTTTTGCCCCATAAGTGATGTGTGGTCATTCTTTGCTGCCCATTTAAACCTATCTCTACTTGCAGACATGACATTATTTTTAATTGAGTGCCATCTCCACCAAAGTACGCAATTGAAATGGAATATCAAATTGAAGTACATGGAAACCAATTGCTGCCAGGAGGATTTGAAAAAACACTGAAAGGGGACCCATCATGCAAAATGCACTTTTCCATGTCTTTTCTACATCCTCTCTGTGTAAAGAGATTCTGAAAGTTTCAGAAAAAAAGATTCTCTCTCTTTCTGTCCTGACCCAGTTTTTTGGCTTGTGTAACCCCCCCACCCCCACCTTATCACCTGAATCTCCTCCTAGAGCACCATTGTGTTCTTTGTAACCAAATATCTCTCAGAGGGGCGTGGGGAGGGGCTCCTTATTTTTCATCTAAACTAACAGACAGAGAATCAGCACTTTGGAAACAGAGCTGAAACAGAGGGGATTATGGGATGCTTCAATGATCCGTTTGGTATTTGGAGCTAAACACTTCAGAGACATGTTTTGTGTATATCTGAGACTTATAATATATTGATGAAAAACAGTATATTAAGGGACCTTTAAGAATAGTTTTAAAAGAAGTGCTGCAGAAGTGATTTATAGTAAACAAACCAAAACCTGCATATTTGTTTTTCTAAAACAAGACACTGTTCATGTGATGTGTTCATGTGATGTGAGTAAGATGTGCATGATAATTGATTGCAACAATCCACAGTCACAGTCGGCATATTTGTCTTTGGAAATGTTGCTCAAAGCATCATCAGCTCTCTACAAAATAAATGAAGGGGCAAATTCACAAAACGATTGCACAGCTTTTGCACCCGCTTAACCTGCACCAACAAGACAAAAAGAAACTGTGTAATTCTACAAAGCCCTCCTGGCTGAGCTACCAAGAAAAAACATATTATATGCATTTAAAAGCAAAATCAGCAAAAAGATCCTTGCATAAAAGGAGTCACATTTTACAATGACCAGATCTAGTGTAAAATGATATTGTCTTCAGTAGGGCTGTGCAATGAATCGTATTTTAATCTCGATTACGATTTTGGCTTGCAACGATTACGAAAACAACGTAATCGAAATAAAACCATTATTATTATTATTATTTTATTTCTTTATTATAATAATTTTTTTTTTTATTGTGTTTTCAGTTGAATTATACTTAAAGTATCAACTGTTAAAAACATACTGTTCACATTTTGTTTTTTTCAATAAATGCATGCTTTCAAAGTAAATGGATAATCGTTTTTAATAATCGTGATATCAATTATTGACCAAAATAATCGTGATTATGATTTTTGCCATAATGGAGCAGCCCTAGTCTTCAGAGAGTTTGTGGTTAATGAAGCTCATAAGGGGTTAATAAACTCTTGACATACGAGAATGTAATGAATATTTTTCTTATTAATAATGTATAATTGAAACCCAATGACATATGTATGGTGTCCAGCACAGAGGCAGATATGATGATAATGAAAGAAGAGAAGATAAATGAACTAGGTCTGACTTGGGCCAGGAAAAAGAAAGTAGCCCAAGCCCAGTATGACTGTAAAAATGTTTACTCGCTATCAGCTATTCTTTTTGTGATTTTGCCCGTCAGCATTGCAGGACTGAAGGTACATCGTCATTTTCCCCACTATCACTCTCTGTCTCTCCAGACAGCACCTCCCCCAAAGCAGTAAACCTAGGGGCAACGCTGTGTAGTATAACAAATCACCAGCAGAAGGATTGTGACGCTGTGTGAAGTCAACATGGAAATCCTCGTTGGCGCTTCCCTTACACACACTGACAGCTGAGTGATGAAACATGGAGGCCACATCAACTCCTGTCAGTGTTTCCACTTCCCTCTTTTAGAAGTTCCTTTTACTCGCATTGATTTCCTTTTTTGGGTAAATTAGACCTTACTTCAAAAAGATGCATTTATGTCTTTTGAGAATTGCTTTTTGATTTGCATATAAGCTCTGTCAATGACAAATCAAAGGCACTTTAAGCTGAAATCTGAAGTGACAGCTGTTTAAATCTATCAGTGAAAGCAAACCACATCAAAACTATGTTTTATGAGTTAACCCCGAAAAATATGTCAGTTTTAAAACACTTTTTCCTATGCAGATTAAGCGTTTCCCCTCCATACACTCCACACCCCAGCATGGAAACACTACTTTCATTTGAGGAAGTTGTGAGAATCACTAGAGCTGACCTATGACCCGAGACACCAGACACAGAAGGACAGTGACGGTGACGAAGGTCCAGTTCCAGTGGTGAGGTCCGTCCACCGTGGCCACTCCCAGGAAGATGAAGATGAGAGTCTCGCTGACGCTGCTCCACATTTTCAGGAAGTACTTGACGGTGGTGTGGGATTTGTGGGAAATGTTGGCTTCCACATAGGGTCGCATCGTCGCTCCACATGCTATTAACCTGAAAGGAGAAGATTCAAACATTGACTTCTGGGAAATATCAACAAACATCTATTTGGATAACAATGTTTCCAAATGTGCTAATGCTTGGATGTCTGTCAACTAAAATGAAACACTGTTAAAACGTTAAGATGAAGTAGGATTCATATTTAAATGTCAAAGGAGGAAGTGGTGCTTTTACTTAAGATATCATCAACAGTGACTTTTTTTAACACTGATTTTGTAAACATGTGACGTAAACAAAAATGTCTTCCTCCTTGTCTAGGGACCACTTCTTTATTCCATTCTGGACAGGCAATGTGTCTATGTCAAAAATGTGGAGGCCCGAAATGAACGCTATTCATGTCCAGCAGCTGCTCAGCGGTCACCTCATTCCTACTCCATGTCAATATTGGTTTGGTTTTCAAAGCTGTAAGGCAGGGGTGTCAAACTCAACTTCACTTTATGTGATCCGCAAGAGCTTGCAAAGAATACAATACTTTAATTATACGGTTACATGCCGCTTTACAAAAGCACGTTGCCCATAAACTACATGTCCCACAATGCATTTAGTTTTGTGACACACGCACTGAAGAGACTCGCAATTATTTGCCCTAGACTTCTGCTTTCAGACGTAGTTCATTTTTAAGTTATTACCCTATCCGATAATAATCCAATGCAGAGGCAATAATGTAATATAACACATTATTTTATATATATTATTGTAACGACGAGACGCCGTTACTAGAGCTCACGTGGACATGTGGATATAATCATTGTACTGTGTGGGGTATATTGACGACAACTTCCCTGTTCCCCATGTATGTTGTAGTTGATTGTGTGCACCTGGTGCCCTGTGTTGTCTCCTCCCCCCTCACCTGTGTCTAATTGCTCCCCCCTCACCTGTGTCTTGTTGTGCTGATTAGTGTGTAGGTATTTAGGCTCTGTTTCCCTGTCTGTGTTGGCGGGTAGTGTGTGTGAGATCCTGGTGGTCAGCTTCACAATTATATATGTATCTTTTTGTATAGTCTTAAAGTTACAAATGGCCCTTTGAGTGCAACCATAATGCGAATGTGGCCCGCGATGAAATTGAGTTTGACATCCCTGCTTTAAGGGGACGATGAAAGGAATTCAAACCAGCAAGCAGTTTCACTTCTACTTTGTAAACACCACAACAAATGTAGTTTTGATAGAAAAGAGCCCCAGGCTTTGGAAAAGATTGTCCTTGAAAATACAAATTACTCGGCCCTGAGTCAGAGAGGGGACTCTGTATATCATCACTCCCTGCGTGCAACATCAATAACTCCTAGCACCTTAAACTGACGAAGGATTGAAACTGCAGGAGCTGATGAGAAACAGCATGTCAGAGAATATTGGGATGCCTATAAATCAAGGTTTGGTTAAAGTGACGTTGGATCAGTTCAATTTATGAAACCACTGTGGTACGGTGTCAAGCTGAGTTACTGTTAAAGGGCAATGACTGAAATAGATTGTTCTTGCACTCGGAAAGCTGATATTGACCGGGACATTTAATCACTGAGGAAATATCAACATACTAAAAACATGTGATCCAAGAGGGATGTCACTGAAACAGCTGGAGTATTCCCGAGAGCGCACATGATACGCTGGACATGTGTAAGTGCGGATCTAAAGCAGAAAACTACAAGTCTTAACGATTCTAGGACAAACAATGCATGGTCTCAGAAAAGGCTTTAAAAGACGTCTTCTGAATGCATACACTACAAATGTATTCTGATTTGTGCCATACATGGACAACATGTAGCTGTAATCCTTCCAATAGTTGCTTAGATAAATGCTGCTGGTGTCAACAACTATTAAAAAACAGTCAACTGTGGTTAACTTACCGTATATGAATGAGATGAAACTCATTCATTTACTCTAGAAATGTCTGTGGTATTGTTGGTGATTATCCTAAGTTAAACATTACTTTGGAATAGATAAAGTGGTTGCAAAGGAACATTTGAGTAATACAAATATAAAACACTTACGCCATGATGCCAGAGAGGTGGAACACCTCAGCTGACAGGTAGGCCATGTAGGCGTACACAAAGATAAAAAGTGGCTCTATGACCCGCACATGGGAGGTGAAGCGGGAGGTAAAGGCGGCCAGGAGCCCGTAGATGACTCCAACTAGAACGCCTCCGATTGAAACCACCAGGAAGGAGATGATTCCCAGGAAACAGTCCAGCACCGTGACTGTGCCGGCACCTGTGTACTCCTCAAACAGGTGGTATAACACCTAGGAGAGGATGAGGAGTGTGAATAGTTATTAGAAAAAAGCAACAGGGGGGTGACAGTTTAAAAAGAAATCTAGGTCGTTTAATGCCCCTGTATTGATTCTCTGACTGTGATCAAAAGAGGAAGAAAGATTAAAGACGTCATGATGGAAATGTGAAAACAGGGTGAATGTCAAAGCAAACTCAAATCCACAACGTGTACAAAATGAAAGATTGGTTATAGGTATGGATACGTTTTAAAACATTTAAGGTTTTCACACTTACTTAACATGTTTTGTTGTATATTTAAAAGGCTGCGCACATCCTTTAAACGTTCTGCAAGTATTAGGAAAACATTGCTTTTACCGAATGTATAAGATGGAACCGTTATGACACTTTATGTATAAACCATTTAGCTAAGTGTCTCACTATGGGAATATATGTATGACAGGCATAATGTGATGCCAGGCAGGATGATCATGCAGATGAATGCCGAACGCTTTAAGGCTGATAAGCTCTGCTCGCGCTTTCTGTGGGTCCTCGACTCCATGCCTAAGCCAATGATGGCACAGTTGCCGTCCAGCTTGTTAAAGCGTGCATGGAAGCCAAACTCGTAGTTGAATATGACCGAGAGACAGAGGCCCACGGTGAATGAGCAGGGTTATGGAAATACTTGGCGAAGTATTCATTTACATAAGCGTTGTGATAGTTCAGGTCAGAAACAAAGGTTGTGGAAACTTAAGTCAGTGCCTTGCAAAGCTATGATGCTAGCGCTGTTGGTAACGTTATACTGTAGTGGAGCCGTTTGTGAACATGCTGCTGTGCTGTGAGCTGAGGACAATTCAGTGGTGACAGACTAGTCAGTCAGAAGCTGTGTGTTGACAGCTTTAGTCCAAGGTTATAAGAACTAAATTAACTTTTAATATGGAACTAAATCTGATAACAACACACAAACGAAAGACGTATGTCCAGCACTATTTTAAATTTGTGTCAATGAGGAGCCCTCTTTGGGAAAAGGGTTACAAATATCTTATGTGTTTCAGAGGGAGAATATCTTGACGTTTCTCTTGCACTATTTTATGTCCTATATATTCATGTTGCACTGTTGGAGGAGCCAGTGACTTAAGGTTTTCATTGCCATATCTACACTGTAGCTAATGTGCACATAACAATAAACCCTTGAATGTTGAATCTGAATCTTGAGAGCTGAGTAATAACTGACACGCAGTTAGGGCTGTTCTATTAATTCAGGAGCCTCTCAGGGATCATAACTGGGTGTTTGCAGTTTAATTATTTATCTGGTTTGTTATTTTATTTTTTCTTAAATATCATTTACCTCGGTTATGTATTTGTTTGTTTATTTATCTGCTTGTTTGTTTATTTATTTATTTTATGTTTTTCCTATAACAAATGTATTTCTTTAAGAAAAAAATAATATATATGTTAATAATTTAGTTTTTGGGAGAAGGGGTGGGATTAAATAAGTGTAAACTTCTTCCCACCCCTTTCCGGATGTGTAATTAAGTAGATTATTTGTTTACACATAATTTAGAATCAGTAATATTTTTTTATATTTGAATGTTGTATTGTATAATAATTCTCATGTTAAATGTTTGTATTATTGTTTTACACATTCGAAATAAATCAAATCAAAATCAAATTGGAGAACTGACAAAACAAAATTGTCTGATAAGAAAAAACGCTCTAAAAGTCTGCTACCAGCCACATATCTCCTGTGGCGGTCACTCACCACAGTGACAGCATCGTTAAGCAGAGATTCTCCAAACACCAGGATGTGCAACAGTTCATTGATGTGGATCTCCTCAAACACAGCCAGCACGGCCACAGGGTCCACAGCGGAGATGATGGAGCCGAACAGCAGGCAGGGCAGCAGCTCGATCTTGTGAAGGATGGAGGGATTGGCCGGCTGGATCTGACACACGGCGTACAGCAGACCCCCGATGAAGAAGGCGTTCCACAGGGTCCCCACCACCGCAAACATCAGGATGGTGCCCAGGTTCTCCATGAAGGGCCGGATGGGCAGGAAGTAGCCGGCATCGAGGATGATGGGCGGCAGCAGGCAGAGGAAGAACAAACGGGAGTCCAGCACTGGGGGGACGTCTTCTCCAGCTAGTTTGATAAGCCCCCCCACAAGCAGACCCACGGTGATCAACAGGCAGCTCTCTGGCACAATGCTGGACACACGAGGTATCATGTGGAACCCTGGGAAAATGGATGAGACAAGCAGATACAATTCAGTGGCATGTTTGGAGATGTAGAACAGGAAGAAGGGAATTACCTGGAAATCAACTGCCGGATCCCTTGCTTTAGGCCTCAAGAGAATTTGTAAGTGGAAGTTTGTTTGTTTCCGTCTGAGTGATGTTGCGATTAACTGGAATTGTACCTATTGGTTTTCTGACTAAATGAAAGGCAAAAGTAAACTGAATTCTGGCCAACGACAACATTAGAAGAGCAATGAGCTGTGACATACCACACTTCTGTGAGTACTAGCACCACCCTCGTTACAAATTCTAACTTCTGCAGAGCTCTTGGGTGAAAAGAATAGCTAGTGTATGTGACATGTTAGCAAATCAATGATAATACAGCAGGAAATTAGTATTCTCCATCGCTTTCGTTTGTAGGAAATGCAGAAGGAAATACTTCAGATGTCTGTTTAGGCTGTGCAAACATGTCAGAGCTTGCGTGATGTCTTTTGTTAAATTTGACTACAACCTGAAAAAAGAGAGCTTTTAAAGAACTGATATTCTAAGCAGTGATTTACATAATAACAGTGGTTCATTGTTATAGATGTAGGTAGTGGAAAGAAACAAATGCACTGTATGCTGATTAGTTACTGGTGTGACAAAGCTAAAACAATGGCCTTGTGAATTCTTGAAGGAAAAAATGGAAATAATATGCTAAATATTTATCGTATACAGATCTCACATGACATGTTCAGCAAGTTTAGGCTGCCATGATCCTACATATTTAGGACTTAATAAGAACAAGCTGTATGTGAAAAGAGAACCTTACAGCTTCTATTTGTCCTCTGAGACCCACATAATAGAAATAACCTTGTGAAATGATCTGCTATTGCTTGACGCTGCTTGGCTCACAAGTTACAGCACAAACATATCTGTATGGATTCCTGACAAATTGTTAATGTTATGATTTACAAGCACTTACTGCCGGACAAAAGACAAAGGTTGCTACACTTTAAAAGGCCCCCCTTATTGTTTGACAAGTTAACATGGGAACATAAATACCCTCACTCCTGGGCTGCTGTGAAGTTTCACATGAAAATATAAAACACAGCATTTTGGAGGGGTCCCAACACTGGACGGGTTTTCGCGGGGAGGAGGTGCTGCCGTACTGACATGTATTGTTTATTATTGACATTTTAGTTTTAGCTGACTGATTATTTGTTTATTTTTGGTTTGTCTGTTTGTCTGTTTTTGTATGTCGGTTTGTCTTCTGTCTGTGTGGAATTGTGTTTGCCCTGGTGTTAAAGGTAGGGTAGGTAAGAATGGAGAAACCAGCTCGAGTGCGCTAGAATTTGAAAGTACACAACCGGAAAAAATCTGCCCTTTCCTTCAGACTTCCTTACAGAGCCCCTCCTCCAACACACACATGACCAAGGAGGGCACGAGATAAGTTTGTGCAAAGATGGAAGGCTGACAGGCAGGTAGGCCATCCAGTTATTTTAGCCGTGCCGGCTCAGATGATTGGTCGTGCTTTTTACAGCGCTACGGCTTCCACAGATGTCAAAGCATTTAATATATTCATTGCTATCGGGATGTTAAGAGCATTCCATGGAATATAAGTGTTTCTGAAGTGAATTACCTACCCCACCTTTAAGCAGTATTTACATTGTTACTCTACCTATTTTTCTATAAAGTGAAGATTTGTTTACCTACTTTCGATACATGCTCTGAGAGAATAACTGTATGCTGTTGAAAAAACCCAATAAACAAAGTTTAAAACAAATATAAAACACAGACATGCTATATGAGGTGACGGGAACTGCAGCCTGTGCATAAATAGCCAACAAAAGAAGATGAAGGCTTCAAAGAGAGAGCAGCATGTGTGCCATAGTGAGAAGTCATTCCGGCTAGATTTACAGTACACTACAGCAACCCACTGACATCCGGTACTGTCGCAGCTGACTGCATGCTGCGCTAACACTGAGACACAAACAAACAGAGAAATATGAACCAAAATGTGCTACATGCTCACACAGGCTAAACAAGGTCATAGGGGTAGAGAGTGACTCATAGTAGATTGCATACTATTCAATAGATACAAAAAAGAACACTGTCAGCACTTTAAATAATTCTGCCACGTCAACAGCACTGTGAAGTTGACCCTTTTTTCCGATTTCATAGTAAGGGAAACATAGCTCATGTGAGAAATGGCCCCTGCTTTGCATTATATTCAAAAAGGATTTAATGAACTTGTGACTGACACAACAAGACCTGTGTGTTGAAGTATGGGTGTAATTATATTAGAGATGGAAACAGAGGGGTTATCATGTTGATTTGATGCATGCCAACAAGTTATTCTTCACATCCGCCCGAAGCAACAGCCAGCCACTACATGTAAATATGTGTTCCACCCACCCCTATCATTTTAGATGTAAATGGCAAACACAGTTTTTAACCCTTGAAGCTGTTACAAGCTAAAAGCACACAGTAGCACAAGGTAACATATCAATAAGCAGCACAGCTACAAAGCTGAAGCTCCTCAGGACAAGAATGGATGGTGCAGTGACAGCAGCAGCACCATATGGCACAGGAGCCACGGTGGGGGGGGGGGGCACGACTCAGGCCTGCTCCAGTCTGATTATGTTTGCACAATGAGGGTGGTGCTCAGCTAATTAATATTCACTAATGAGCACATTGAGCACTTTGCTATGTCATGGTCAGGCCTTGCACAAATGCTGCCAGTAAATTACCAATCAAAGTAAACAGGTAATTTATTATCAAGACATACTGGAATTATATTTAACCTGTATTTGATCATTTCAACGTAGCAGGGTTTTCTCATTGTAGCATGTGAAACTTAAGCATCGTGGGAATAGAAGACAGTCAGAGTAGGGGGATGTGTGTTGTTACTCAGCTTGAGGACAACAGTAGTAGTGTTTCAGCACACAAACCTAACAAGTGCATGTCTGTGGATTATGCAGCTGCATGCCGCTGGAGCCCTGGTGCTTTGAGGAAGGATAGTAAAGAGGTCTTTCTTTTCAATGGTCTAAAGAGGGCAACCACCCACTACTCTACAGAGGCTTCGCAGGAAGGTGGTTTAACAAAGATATTCTGTGATGGCTGCTTCAAACACAGGAACCAGACTTTTATTGTGATTGTCCTTAAATGCTTTTGTAGCAGGATATAAATTCAATAGCTAATTTGGACACTATCCAAAGCCCTATGTTATTTAGAAAGCTGCTATTATGAAAGCTAACTTTTATGTTCACAAAATCTTAACCCCCTATAGACACTGTTACATAATTAAGAAGCTGCATCTAAGTGTTTGAGACATCAACACTGCAGAGATCTCTGTTCGGCGTGGGGATCACCGGATCACACAGGTGGGCCTGCACAGCTCCAGAAAGCTAATTGGCCGAACATAAAAAATAACAATGACAGGCCTTCAAAATGGAAATGATACCCATGGAAGTATTTTTTTACACAATGGTGCCATTAACTAAGAACCAATATCAGTTTATCACCTTGCTTTATTACAAATGTGTGTAAAGAATTGCAAAGAAATGTAATGATATCAGTTTGCCAACACTTTATGCATGTATATGAGGTCTGCTACCCTATCCATTTATCATTCTCTTTAACAAGGTAAGCCTGTTATGAGTTGACCTCGGTCTGTTCTGTTCAGCTGGGAGCCAATTAGCTGATGTCAACGCATACAACAGTGTGACATGGGATCCAAAGAAACACGATCTGCAAACAAAGAGCAGTTACCTCTACGAGTCAGACCGCGAGGGGCCTTGTGCTCTACATTTCTGAGCAAACATGTTGCATATGACAACGGGCTGCAGGGTTGCACGAAGACAGTAACTTATTACATCTACCTAAGAATAATTGATGGTGTGTTTTAATCCTAATAGACAGACACAGAGAATGTAATGAAACTAATTCAAATAAACACATGCTTAATTTCAACAATGCCAACAGGGACTACATTGAGTTGTAGACAGGGTATAACAAATCCATACACCAAAAACTTGATCTGCAGTGAGCCACTGAGGAGCCAAAGGGAGAACTTCTGTTCATTAATGCACAATGTTTCTATACGACTCACGATAGACCTACCCATACTTCAAGGTCTCAAGAAAAAGAAACAAGTACCGGTATAACTGGATCCAGAGGGTGGCAGGGGGTATTATTAGAGGAGAAGGAGTCCCATGATCCCTTGTGTCACGTGTGACCAGTGACATTAACTATAGGACCTGAGCCAGCGTACTTTTGGCTCCGAGCCTTCATTCTCTGAATCATGATCCATGAATAGAAGCCACTGGGATCTGGCATTAAAAGTACAATCAGGCAATTCAAAATGAGAATTGAAATTCATATGGAGAGACTGTTAAAGGCAAACATAAACCGTTTCCTGTCAAGGTTACCGTGGCAAATGTAATATTATCAGAGGTCGTAATTTTCATAACACAGCAATGCCTCACATTTCTCAAATAAATACAAATGTGGTATTGAAGTCTCAGGCTCGCCCCAGCAGAAGCTCGGCAAAGAAGCCATTTAAATACAACCTTCAATAAAAAGATGGGCAGTGTAGTCCTTGAGGAAGTAAAGGAGCACACATACCTCATTCACACCAACGGTGTTTCAGGGCCGGTTCGGACGGTTAACGGTTACGTCATGACGCAAACGATGACGCAGCACCAGTCGGACTCTGGGCAGTGTGAAAAGAGCCGGAGCTAAACCGAAGAACCGGTTCTGAACCGGAAAAGCTCTAGCACGGAGCTTGACCCGGAGTTGCGTTGGTGTGAATGAGGTAACAGGTCATGACTGGATTTATTAAACGGATTACTGATGGAATCTCGAGCAGTGGCTTCAACACTGGATCAGAGAATGACTCTAAATGACCCATTATCATCCATGGAGGACGAGGACGGACAAGTGAAGATTGTGCATAGTGGGCAACAAGGATGAGATCGAGACAAAAAGCAATTGCACTCTTCTAAATGTAAGACATCTCAACACATCCAGGGCCCGGTACAAAAAGCTTGGAGGATGGAGCCTTAAAATGTCCTACCAGCTGGTGGATAGGTGGTGACAGTTAACCCATTCTTAAGTCTCTCAAGCATGACTCCAATAATGGCCTTCAGTGCTCATCATGTGAAGAGCCATAAGAGTGGATAGGATAAGTGAGAAGGAGGGCCGTATACTTCAAAGAACAACTGACAGCACACGACTTCAGTGCTGTCAAGACATATGTTTGAAGGAGATGTACTGAGTAGAAGAAGAATGGTAAGAAAGGATTTGAATGCCAGCAAATCCTTGAAATTTAAAATCAGGCGGTTCATCCTGGCTGCTTGTCAATAATGGCATGCGCTGCGTCTTTATCCCCCCTGAGAGTCTTTATGCAACAAGGTTATTGAAAAGCAGCAACGGGTAACAGCTCTTTCACTTCTGAATGTGTACCCAGTGTCAGCATGGCCTGGTACTTGCTACACACAATCTTTCCCAACGCCAAGAACTGTGGCCTGTTGCCAGGTTACTAATTGTACACGGCTGGCAACCAAAATACGCCGGACCAAGCAAGGACAAAAGAGAGAAAACGTTTAAAGAGTTACTTAGATAAAAATTTGTATCAGTGATACGTTTATTTAATTATTTTTCAAAAAGTCAAGATGTTATAGTGGTTAGCTGGCTTTCCACCCACACACCATACTGTGTTTACAGAAACACATTTATTTCAATGTGGTGTTTGCATGAGCAACAGGACTCTTTATACAAAAAAAGGTCATTGTGAGTCATTGTTGAATGATTGGACCCACATGGTTGTGCTCCTCGAGGTGATTGCGAAAGACCAGTGTTGGTTTAAATGATGAATAATGGCCTGTGGCTGGTATATTTCATTATGATCCCTGTCGCCATATCTGCACAATACTACCGGCTCACACAGGTTACTCCTCACATTATTAATAAAAACCTTTTATCCTAAGTATAATTAAAAAGCAACACAGAAACAAGCCACACTATACTCTGGAAAAGCACAAATAGAGAGAAAGTTTTAGGCTTCAGAAGTGAACAAAAGAACAAGTTAACATTAGTACAGATACTCGCTTCACCTTTATACTGTAAGTTGTCTTGAGACTGTCTCATTTCATGGAGACCTCAAATCCGGCAACTACCCATGAAACAGAAAATGGCGTCATGGGCAACCACTAATTGCTAGAATATTCTTCGGCTATGACACCTAAAAGGATGATTACTGCTTGCAGCCCCGTGACGCATGCACAGAATGGCGGACAACCAAACCAATCAATATTCATTGTTGCTTTAATTGAATTAAATGTCTTGGACGTCGACGATATATAGAATCATCTCATTAAATATGAGGCAAAGCAATCTATTTGTAAGATTCTTAGCATGTACATTTCTTTCATTAATTAAACTTCTGTGCTAAGCCATAATCTAAAAAACATATTCAAGATAACATGTGAAGCCCGGGAAACCTTTACTCAAGCTTTGCCAAGAGTGTGGTTTCCAATGAGGCACCTCTAATCTTTCCTTCACGCGCTCTATTGATAAGGTAATATTATGGCCCTTATCTCTTTATGGGTTTAACGAATCCTGTAACTTTGGACTCTACAACAAATGTAGTATTACCTTAATTTTCTTAAGGAGAATCATATGTTCTGTACTGTAGACTCAGGATTAAGTCAATACTTTGTTTATTCTGGTGAGCTGCTTTAAATGCACATTTCATCAACAAAACTGTTGATTGAATTTTGAAACAAAAAAGATAATTGTAGCAGGACACACTGTTCTAGAATCAGTTTACTGGTGGTTTATTGGTGAACCTAGTGATACTGCATACGTCTCCCACCCTTGTTGGAGTCAATTGTTCACTATAGATAAAGCAATCTATGTGCATGTGTCTTGGTGAACCATTTACTAGGCAAACAGACACGTTTAACAATTGCAGCATTGATGAAACTTTGTTATTAATGCTGTAATGGGTCTTATATTGTTTTTTCCACCCGCTGAGATTTAATTAGGATCACAACCATGTCTGGTAATTACAACGACAAACACAATCTACATCTTTGCAATTCATTAGGTGCAAGAAATAAAACAAACCAATGAATTCTCACACGACAGACAGTGAGTTTTCCCTCATTGGGGTGAAACCAGGTCGCAACCATATTAAACATCGCTAAGGAAGTGTAAAGACTAAGTTCCCATTGAATATGTGCTTTATTTAACGTTCACAAAGAACCTTTTTCTCAGTTCATGTTTTCAAAATCTGCACTTATACGCCCACTGCTAAACATTTTGACCTGAGTGAACCCACGCTGTCCCTGGAATTTCCTGATCCAGGATTAAACAGAGAAGAACACATAATCTGACTGTTCTACAAAGATCTGTAGGTACTTCTACTTTGACTGTATAGCTTTCTCTTTAACAATGTGATTATAGGATACACGGTTATTGTTGTTTTGTGCTGTAGCTACCAGAAATAAGAATACAAAAGGTCTGTTAATTATTAACAAAGCCTGCGATTATAACAATCAGCTCAGTTCTTTAATTTGCACTCCCAAAATGTTTGTTTAACAAATCCATATCAAAGCCTCACAAAGGGTCTAAATACTGTTTTTCATTGACTTTGCCTCTGTTTAGCCGATGCTCTCTCTCTTTTCTTTACTCTAGGAATAAAGGTTTCGGTTGACGTTTAACTCCCGCTTCCACAAAAACTATAATCGGATAACAGCAGCTCTGTATGTAATAGTGTAACACACACCTTCTCTTCAAATTGTTTGGAGAGTTTTGAATTATAAATGGATGCTGAGACTAACTGTACTCATAATACATGTTACAAAGCTTAGCTGGAAGTAAAGAAATACCGGTGCCAAGCAGCTTCAACCACACCGAGACAATTCAAAAAGGTGTGTCCTACTCCCACAGGTACTAGTGAATATAATCAGATCTGACCAAACTGAAAGGTCAACATTCAAGTCGGTACCTGCCTGGTGGATATTTGATCAGTCCATAAATTATTAGCATCACACCCTAAAACAGTGTACTATTCATTCAGACCAAGATCTGTTTATGAGTTTCCTTTTGAATATTACAGGAAATTAAATTGTTCATTTAGATAATAGCTTGTAAACTTTGATTATTCCTGATTATAACAGACCTCTCAACCTTTCAACACAGCCTTCAACACAGTGGATCACTTTATGAGGGTTTTATAGTTTTGCAGTGTCAATCTGAGCTCTCATGTCATCCGACCATTGATAAAGAAATTGATAACGTTAAAGAATAGTTATTTTTGTATGATTCTGGCATGAAGCTTAATTACAGGAGCCAACAAAGAAGACATTTCATAACTATAAAAAGGACTTTGCCATTTTCTTTGACAATGTTAGGGCATATTCTAAGAGAAATTACATCATCTAGGTTTTGATTTATATCAAAAATATTTTGCACACCGGGAATAATCAATCCATGTAAAGTATTTGTGTGAAAGATAAGGACAGAAAGGCGCCCTGACAGCGTTGCTTAAGAAATACGTTTACTGTGGCTGTGCGTTTAAGCTTGAAAAATATGAGTACCGTGAACGTGAATAAGTTTGCTCTGCCGAGGCTGAGCAGTGTAGCTGTCACATTAAATTACCCACAGCCCATTCTCAGACACCCTTGGAAAATCAGAGGCTTAAGGTCACTTATGTTTGCTGCTGTCAGCGGGTAAACTCCTACTGCTTCAATTTCTTTTCTGCCTCCCTTCTGCTTGCTGGACTTCCATCATTCCTTAACCTCACCCTCTCCTTATCCTCATCTCTCATTTTCCCTCAATGCCCTTGAGCTGCGTCCTAACAAGAGAGCCAGTCGAGCAAGGTGGTCCCTCTCTGCCCGTCTGGTCCCTGGAGACCCTGGGCTCCTTGCCCAGTCAGTAAGGCAGTATCTTCCCTGGCTACAGGCTGGTGCTCAGTCATGGCCCCGGTGTCACAGGCAACTAAAAAGCTGCTGGCTCGCGTAAAAAAAGATAGCAGATGACAATGCAGTGTTTTGTGGGAAGCACAATGCAAAGAGGCATAGAGTGAGTAACAAGGGATGTGTATTGAAAATAAGAGGAAAGAAAGGAGTGCAACCAGGAATTGAGAAAGAAGGAGCAATAAAGCGTGAGGACACAGAAGAACCCGAAGCAACAGAGAAAAGTGAGGAGCTGGACAGAAGTAGTAAAGTTTGGCACAATAATGAAGTAGCCCAACTCAAATGTCATTTTTGAGACATCTTTTATGACAATGCCTCAAGGCTTTGCTCAAAATAGCAGAAGGTTCCCCTTGACAACTTGCCAAATAGTTGCTATTCGACATCCAGATTGCTGCACCAAGCCGCTTAGTCATCACTATTTCTACAAGTAAGGACAGCACTGGCAAAAGACCGGGACATCTGAACATGAGGCTGACAGATCTGATGACGAGTATAGCAAAATAGATTCACCATTGAGTAGCTGAGTAAATTGAGCTATTCTGGTCCAACTTGTTATGTCAGCAGGCATACCAGTGGCAAATTTAATTGGTATTAAGAATTCAGACTGCAGGGTGACCTACTGGGCAGAGATTATGCTGTAACTGAGAGATAGATGAGTTTTTTTCTGAGTCAATTATTGTGAGCCCAATAAGACTATATCAGTTGAATTATCTACATTAAATCAGAAATATGTATTCTCTTCAACATGTGCTTTTGATCCAAGGAGCAGTCTGGTAAAACAGACTCCACCTATGTTTGTTTTTATACGCATGTAATTGTGCATCTGGACAACTGGCTGCAAACATGCTAACTAACCTGCAATGACTACACACCTGTAGCCAAACCTATAACCTAACCCCTTAGCTAGCATTTCCTGGAAAGACTGAACAAAAATGCAGGGCTTCAAGCAACAATGCATGCGTGACATTCACATGATACTCACCTAATTTCATTAAGGAAGCCAGCAGGATCCATAATGAGATCTCAAAGGGCGCCTGTATGTGATGGTAGTCGAGGGTGAGCACAGGGAATGCCTTTTTAGTGTAGTTGTACTTTTGCTCCTTATCTTGGGGGTTGCTCACATAGTCATTGTGGGTGGTATCGGGAGAGCTAGCAGCCCCGAGAGGAAGCACGGATCCCTGCAATAAAACAAGCACGATCAGCAGGAGCAGCCCCCGCTCCGGTAAACTCTTCCCGGCCGGGCTGTGTGAATCTCTCCTCGCAGGCATGTTGTTGAACGAAAGAAGGCGATGTTATTTTAAAAGAAATTAGTGGCTTGAAAACCAAACTAGTTCAAGGAAGTTCAACACAACTTATTTGGCTTAACCGAACCAAACATCCATTCTGTCAACTAACTAGCTCCACTTTAGCGTTGTTGCCTGTAGCCAGGTAAACAGTGACACAGGCCGTTGTGAGAAAGCAGGAAACGGCGAAATGCTGGATGTCTTTTAACAACAATGCAGACAAGTGTGCTGTAAAAGAAGCAAGCCTTTCCTTTCTGTTCTTACAGCAGTGTTTCACAAGTTGTGTCAGTGGCTATGAATGTCCTCCTTGGTGAAAGATGTCATTGTTGATGCTGGAGGCTCAGCGGCATCCCCCTCCACTCCTCTTCTTCCCTCCGACTGTCCGAGAAACACGTCCGTGAGGCGGCTGCGGTGCTCAGATACTGACCTTGAAGAGATGCCACACTGCTGTCACATTGCATTTTTGCCGCGTAGCCTATGTAATTCAACTTTTTGATACAAGTGTCCGTATATGCGGCATTCCCAGCACGGTGTTCAGGGGAGGACAAGAAGACCTCGGTCGGGACTCAGCCCAGAGGGAGGATGCGGTGGGGGTGGACTCGGGGTGTGATCTCTGCCCAGCCTTCAGTGGCTTTTCCCTGGTTGTCAAACGAAGAGTGGCGACTGGTCTTGTCTGCGTTGGTGTTTAGCTCCATACAACCTTCAAAAAGCACACCCTTTCGCGGAGGTTTGGTGGATGGGAGGAGGAGGAGTGGTAGGGGAGTGGGATGGACGACTATACTGACACCTATAGGAATGGAGGGTTAAAGTGTATCATCATGAGTAAGAAAAATGAATAGCAACTCAGTAACTGCTGTAACAAATTCTTCAGATACACATCAATTCCTTTCTGGGATTTGCTTTGTCTGGTTGTTATAGGCAGTAATCTGATACTGTTGAATTAAAATGGCTCCGGGTCATTCTTGCTTCGACAGGGAGGTCTTTTTCCTAATCTCAGATGATGGAAATTATGCCGGGGGACATCAGATCGCTCCATGATCTGAATACTTCATTAAGCATTATGTGACCCAGCATTATGAGCAATGATATTCGCAATAACAGGCTAAAGAGTGGGAGTGCATACATTTACAAAAATTCACTTTAGCTGGAATTGAAAACAGGTTATATATTCTGGCTGTAAAAATCCTTAAAGGACATTATGTTTACCAATAGGTCAGGGGTCAGTTTCGCTTCAGGGCCCCGAGTGCAGTTTCAGCCCATTGCTCAAAGACACACCCATGATGTATTGAACCAGGAGGATTATGTTTAAAGGTAGGCTACAAACAGCATACTAATGAGTATTGTTTGTTTTTTGTTTCCTGGTGTGTGGGAGTGGCCCTGAAAAGTACTTGAATTACAAGTTAAAAGATGATGACTCAACATGTGCTTCTAGTGGAAGCACGCCTTCCACATTTAGCAACTATTCATCCATTCAAAAAAGACCTGAAGTAGGCCTGCTGTTTTAGAAGGGTTGCTTGTGTTGAAGTGACACAACAATAAAAAACAGTAATGTTGACCTTGTGCCAACAAAAGAGCAATCTTTGAGATTGCTTAGGGTTTTTTATAATGCAAAATATAAATGTGGATGTACTACTTTATTCTGTTATGATAGTAATGAGCATGTTTTAATACACCAAATGATTAATAAAGAAAACACTTGGTAGATACATTTATATTGAAAATTAAGAAGATCAGCCTTTCTAAATCTAATTTATTTTAAAAAAACAATCCAAACAATCTGTCTGTCTCTACTGTGATGCAATGTTTAATAACTTGTGTGTTTCTTGTATTCTCAACTGCCTTAAGTCCCCAAGAATTTCGCCAATAAAGAGACACAATGATTATAGTTTTGTGCTCAAATAGCTGCTCTCTGGACTTTAAGAGATTAGCCAGTGAAGACTACACAGTTGTCAGGCAAAACTGCTAAACAAATATGCCTTAGATAATGTCTAGTCTCTTTAATGATCCAGGGTGCAGTTTAAATAAGATATGGTCAGTGTTGATAACAGTGTGCTGCAGAACACATACATTAAACACAGCCACAGTCAGAGTTCAGGCGACGAACTGTCTGTGCAGTTAGTCATTTCTATCTATGTCTTACCACTCTTTATGACAGTAAGGTGTTTTATTTTTACCACCTTATTGCTGCTTGATGTTCAACGGAAACTTCCGATAAATCTGAACTGTGGTGGATGCTATCTTCTGTGGTGGGTGCCGACAGCCTCCTCTGATAAACACGTCCCAATTTCATTGTATACACTAACTGCCATAAGTGTACAAGAATTCAACAACAGTCTATGAGAGACTTTAAAGTGCCACTGCACATTCAACTTCATGAAAAGAAAGCAGATTTTTTCTGTAATGATTTAAAGCCTATTTGTTGGTACAGCCCCACCACCATTTTCAATTTCACAGAAGACATTTTGACACGTTATATAAGAGAATGCATGGGTGTAAATAGTGAAACTAGTAATGGCTGCATTTCATTTAGCAGCTCTAGTTTCAGTATTGTGGTTTGTTCATGCATACCTTACCACATTTTCATGAACTGTTTGAAAACTTGAATAAAAAATAAGTAGGCTATTGGTCGTGTATTTAGTAACAACTGTGTGCTTTTCATACAGTGCAAAGTCAAAATGTTTTTTATTATTCAGCTGTGAGTATACCATCCATTTCTTTTCTGCACTGCCTTGTTCAACAAATAATAACTCTAGATCAACATACTTCCAACATTTGAAGGTTTTTAGTATGCATACTGATTGTTGTATTTCATTATACTGACACTCAACTGAGAGGCAACAGTATCAGGCCATTGTAGTAAAGAAGGCAAACATGAATGATGTATTGAAAAGCTTTGTTTTGAGGTCAGCATTGTTTCACTGATCAACAAGGCAACAACAATTTCTTCATGCTGCATGAAGTAAAGGAATATGATTTATTTCGCATGTCTGTAATCATTAAGAGGACTAACAAAACTCAATATTCTAGAGAAAAATCTCAGTCAAATGATAGCTAAATATAAACTTCAACATTTTTTCTTCAGATAGGCCAGGTTAGTCATTTTAGTGACCAACAGAAATAATGTGACGAGAGCTTACCAAACGGAAGTATTCATGATAATAGTTACATGCTTGAGATTTGTAACCAAATGCCATTACAGTGCAGTATGTCCGCAGAATCAGCAGCACTTAGCGCTCTTAATTTGCACTTTAAGATGTCCTTTAAGGGGGGTACTGTTAGTTATTCTGATGCCTCCGTGGATATTGTCCCTTTGATCTTGTAAGTTTATTGTGCTGGTATCTTTTTCTGTTTTAAAGATAATGATCTCATGATAAACAAAGGTCAAAGGTATCTTTCTTTCTCCATGAGAAAGGAGAACAACTATTTCAAACTTGCTTCCTCATTAATTGAATTCTATTCATATCTAGGGTTATTGCTGTTCTTATCAACATCACACAGTACCTTTGCAACAGAACATTCGTGCCAGACCATTCATTTACAAACCAAATGCGTAAATGAACCCCCATACAAAACAGATGGTAACCTCAGTGAAGTCCATGTTGGAACACATAAATGCATAACCTATTGTACACATTCTCCTTCAGCTCTGTTGTGGTACAATGTTATGCCATGAGCTTTGCTGCAGGACCCAAGATGTCTACAACATGATTCCAATTGTCATCAAAACCTTGGAGAAAATAATATGGGGCATGATGCTGTGGTTAGTGGTCATGAAGTCAATTACTCAGGATGACAGAGCTAAACACATGCCAAGACTACTTTTAGCAGAAAATAATATGTGGTTCAAGCCAAAATGAACCCAAAGCCCCATGGGTTCAATGCTGTGCTCAAGGCAGCTCAGCACCCCCAAGCTGAGGCCATTTCATCAAAGATAAATTGTACTGTTACTAAAAATAAATCCAGGCCGAAGAAAAATAAGTTTCATGTTGAAAGCTTTGTATCCATCCAAGATCAGGCAAAACATGTTATATTGAACTCTTTGACCAGGCAAGGCTTATTTGCTTTTGGGAGGCTTTCTTTCATATTCGTTAAACCAAAGAAAGTCCATTCTAAGTGAAGGAAGACTAAACTGCAATTATAAAAAATCAAAGCAAGTACTCTACCAGCTCACTCCCATATGTCTACTTTGTAGTTCCTATTCCTGCCTTTATCTGCATGGAGTTAGTCACTGTGTCTTCTCCCACAAAGCATGAGATGTGGAACAAAACAAGTCAATTATTGCCAGGCAGCAATTCAACCTACAGAGAAAGAAAGCTAAATGCAATTTCTACTGTTTCACATTTTAAAACAAAGCAATTGAAGAAACTTCGCGGCTTTTTCTGTTTGTTTGTCTTTAAAGACTGTAGAGTGGAATCATATTCAGAATAACACAGCTCCGACAGGTAGCATCAGAGTAAATTACACCCTAAATCCTGCTTTACCTATATTTCCTATTTAACACAGGTCAGAATAAATTAATAAACCATACACAGAAACAAACTGCCTGAGTCTCTGATGTGTTCCTGGCTGTACTGTAGCAGCATGTCTTCTCATTAGAGGTTAGCTGCAGGATCCAGAGCTGTCAGTTTAAGACGACCCAGCATGAATCTGGGATAAAACCTTCAAAAACCATCAGATGGTGACATGACGCCACCTAGTATAAGCTGTGTAAATGATGACAAGCTCTGACAGAGCGTCTTTCAGCAGGGACTAATGCAAAAATATTTTTGACGGTTTTAAGCACACTCACAGCACCCTGTGGCAGAGGTGGTTATTTTAGGATCGCTGGGCAAACAGCCACTTTTGACTGAAGCATGGAAAATGTCCAACTTTCTTCTCTCTTTCTTTCTTTAACAGAAAGGGCCACAAACTTCTTCAACCCCATTTTCTCTCAGCCATTGCAAATGTCACTGCTCTAACTAATGCCAGATCCCATCATGCTTAATAAGTATACATTAGCTCCTGCAGACCACTGGTGTCCTCAGGGTGTAATTGTCATCATCTTAGATTAAGGCAAAGGGATATTTTCATAATTATGGCCATGTGGTCATTGCACGCCCAGAGTCAGACACTGATCCACAAAATGTCTCTGGTGCAATTTGGTGGCTGCTCAGAATCTTCATGACTAGTTTAACACAATGTTTACAGCAGCATATGGTAGGTAAGAGCATGCACTGTTGAAAGTAATAATTGTGAAATGACCAACAGTTATGATGTGAGCCTGCATAGTTTATCATAATCAATCTCACTCTTTATTTATTTATATAGCACATTTAAAACCACCTCAGTTGGCCAAAGTGCTGTACAGGCAATAAATACAATATAAAATAACACAATGGGAGTAAAATAATAAAACAATTAAAAACATGATAAAAAGCACAATAACTAGAAACATATAAAAACACATACAAATGTAAAAATGTAATGTTCAACTAGTATTAAAAGCCAAATCATAACTTATAAAGAAAATCCAAGTACTTGAACCAATACAACATTAAAGGCTTGCAAATAAATACTGAGTGTATATTCCAAGCATTCACATGATATAAGATAAGATAAGATAAGATAAGATAAGATTGTACTTTATTGATCCCAATTTGGGAAATGTTTGTGTTGCCGCAGCATAAAAGACAAGGCATTTTACAATAAA